TCATCGAAAGTGAACTTTAGATAAATAAAATCCAGATCAAAAGCAAAAACATAATGTTTTTTCTTCCAGTGGGTAGCCATCTTGTTTTCCCAAAGCTTTCGACTTGGGAGCCTTCTTCAAGCTTCACATTCGTTCAAATAAAGTATACGAGTATAATGTATTGAGGGATGTAGTGAGAGAGTCAGCCAGCATGGCCCGGGGTTGAGGTATGTAGTGAGAGAGTCAGCCAGCATGGCCCGGGGATGAGGTATGTAGTGAGATAGTCAGCCAGCATGGCCCGGGGTTGAGGGATGTAGTGAGAGAGTCAGCCAGCATGGCCCGCGGTTGAGGTATGTAGTGAGAGAGTCAGCCAGCATGACCCGGGGTTGAGGTATGCAGTGAGAGAGTCAGCCAGCATGGCCCGGTGTTGAGGGATGTAGTGAGAGAGTCAGCCAGCATGGCCCGGGGTTGAGGTATGTAGTGAGAGAGTCAGCCAGCATGGCCCGGGATTGAGGTATGCAGTGAGAGAGTCAGCCAGCATGGCCCGGGGTTGAGGTATGTAGTGAGAGAGTCAGCCAGCATGGCCCGGGGTTGAGGTATGTATAGTGAGAGAGTCAGCCAGCATGGCCCGGGGTTGAGGTATGTAGTGAGAGAGTCAGCCAGCATGGCCCGGGGATGAGGTATATAGTGAGATAGTCAGCCAGCATGGCCCGGGGTTGAGGTATGTAGTGAGAGAGTCAGCCAGCATGGCCCGGGGTTGAGGTATGTATAGTGAGAGCGTCAGCCAGCATGGCCCGGGGTTGGGGATGTAGTGAGAGAGTCAGCCAGCATGGCCCGGGATTGAGGGATGTAGTGAGAGAGTCAGCCAGCATTACCCGGGGTTGAGGTATGTAGTGAGAGAGTCAGCCAGCATGGCCCGGGGTTGAGGTATGTATAGTGAGAGAGTCAGCCAGCATGGCCCGGGGTTGAGGTATGTAGTGAGAGAGTCAGCCAGCATGGCCCGGGGATGAGGTATGTAGTGAGATAGTCAGCCAGCATGGCCCGGGGTTGAGGTATGTAGTGAGAGAGTCAGCCAGCATGGCCCGGGGTTGAGGTATGTATAGTGAGAGCGTCAGCCAGCATGGCCCGGGGTTGGGGATGTAGTGAGAGAGTCAGCCAGCATGGCCCGGGATTGAGGGATGTAGTGAGAGAGTCAGCCAGCATTACCCGGGGTTGAGGTATGTAGTGAGAGAGTCAGCCAGCATGGCCCGGGGTTGAGGTATGTAGTGAGAGAGTCAGCCAGTATGGCCCGGGGTTGAGGCATGTAGTGAGAGAGTCAGCCAGCATGGCCGGGGTTGAGGGATGTATAGTGGGAGAGTCAGCCAGCATGGCCCCGGGTTGAGGGATGTAGTGAGAGAGTCAGCCAGCATGGCCCGGGGTTGAGGTATGTATAGTGAGAGCGTCAGCCAGCATGGCCCGGGGTTGGGGATGTAGTGAGAGAGTCAGCCAGCATGGCCCGGGATTGAGGGATGTAGTGAGAGAGTCAGCCAGCATTACCCGGGACTGAGGGATGTAGTGAGAGAGTCAGCCAGCATGGCCCGGGATTGAGGGATGTAGTGAGAGAGTCAGCCAGCATGACCCGGGACTGAGGGATGTAGTGAGAGAGTCAGCCAGCATGGCCCGGGGTTGAGGGATGTAGTGAGAGAGTCAGCCAGCATGACCCGGGACTGAGGGATGTAGTGAGAGAGTCAGCCAGCATGGCCCGGGACTGAGGGATGTAGTGAGAGAGTCAGCCAGCATGGCCCGGGGTTGAGGGATGTAGTGAGAGAGTCAGCCAGCATGGCCCGGGACTGAGGGATGTAGTGAGAGAATCAGCCAGCATGGCCCGGGATTGAGGCATGTAGTGAGAGAGTCAGCCAGCATGGCCCGGGGATGAGGGATGTAGTGAGAGAGTCAGCCAGCATTACCCGGGACTGAGGGATGCAGTGAGAGAGTCAGCCAGCATGGCCCGGGGTTGAGGGATGTAGTGAGAGAGTCAGCCAGCATGGCCCGGGATTGAGGGGTGTAGTGAGAGAGTCAGCCAGCATTACCCGGGACTGAGGGATGAAGTGAGAGAGTCAGCCAGCATGGCCCGGGGTTGAGGGATGTAGTGAGAGAGTCAGCCAGCATGGCCCGGGATTGAGGCATGTAGTGAGAGAGTCAGCCAGCATGGCCCGGGACTGAGGGATGTAGTGAGAGAGTCAGCCAGCATGGCCCGGGGTTGAGGGATGTAGTGAGAGAGTCAGCCAGCATGGCCCGGGGTTGAGGGATGTAGTGAGAGAGTCAGCCAGCATGGCCCGGGACTGAGGGATGTAGTGAGAGAATCAGCCAGCATGGCCCGGGATTGAGGGATGTAGTGAGAGAGTCAGCCAGCATGGCCCGGGGTTGAGGGATGTAGTGAGAGAGTCAGCCAGCATGACCCGGGACTGAGGGATGCAGTGAGAGAGTCAGCCAGCATGGCCCGGGGTTGAGGGATGTAGTGAGAGAGTCAGCCAGCATGGCCCGGGATTGAGGGGTGTAGTGAGAGAGTCAGCCAGCATTACCCGGGACTGAGGGATGAAGTGAGAGAGTCAGCCAGCATGGCCCGGGGTTGAGGGATGTAGTGAGAGAGTCAGCCAGCATGGCCCGGGATTGAGGCATGTAGTGAGAGAGTCAGCCAGCATGGCCCGGGACTGAGGGATGTAGTGAGAGAGTCAGCCAGCATGACCCGGGACTGAGGGATGTAGTGAGAGAGTCAGCCAGCATGGCCCGGGGTTGAGGGATGTAGTGAGAGAGTCAGCCAGCATGGCCCGGGATTGAGGGATGTAGTGAGAGAGTCAGCCAGCATGGCCCGGGGTTGAGGGATGTAGTGAGAGAGTCAGCCAGCATGGCCCGGGGTTGAGGGATGTAGTGAGAGAGTCAGCCAGCATGGCCCGGGATTGAGGGATGTAGTGAGAGAGTCAGCCAGCATGACCCGGGACTGAGGGATGTAGTGAGAGAGTCAGCCAGCATGGCCCGGGGTTGAGGGATGTAGTGAGAGAGTCAGCCAGCATGGCCCGGGGTTGAGGGATGTAGTGAGAGAGTCAGCCAGCATGGCCCGGGGTTGAGGGATGTAGTGAGAGAGTCAGCCAGCATGGCCCGGGGTTGACGCATGTAGTGAGAGAGTCAGCCAGCATGGCCCGGGATTGAGGGATGTAGTGAGAGAGTCAGCCAGCATGACCCGGGACTGAGGGATGTAGTGAGAGAGTCAGCCAGCATGGCCCGGGGTTGAGGGATGTAGTGAGAGAGTCAGCCAGCATGGCCCGGGATTGAGGCATGTAGTGAGAGAGTCAGCCAGCATGGCCCGGGACTGAGGGATGTAGTGAGAGAGTCAGCCAGCATGGCCCGGGGTTGAGGGATGTAGTGAGAGAGTCAGCCAGCATGACCCGGGACCGAGGGATGCAGTGAGAGAGTCAGCCAGCATGGCCCGGGGTTGAGGTATGTATAGTGAGAGAGTCAGCCAGCATGGCCCGGGATTGAGGGATGTAGTGAGAGAGTCAGCCAGCATGACCCGGGACTGAGGGATGTAGTGAGAGAGTCAGCCAGCATGGTCCGGGTTTTAGGAATGTAGTGAGAGAGTCAGCCAGCATGGCCCGGGACTGAGGCATGTAGTGAGAGAGCATGCCAGCATGGCCCGGGGTTGAGGTATGTAGTGAGAGAGTCAGCCAGCATGGCCCGGGGTTGAGGCATGCAGTGAGAGAGTCAGCCAGCATGGCCCGGGGTTGAGGTATGTAGTGAGAGAGTCAGCCAGCATGGCCCGGGGTTGAGGCATGCAGTGAGAGAGTCAGCAAGCATAGCCTGTAAGTGATTTTATATTAATATATCTCTTTCTGCATAATCCCGACCCCTTCACTCCAGCCACCCTGTATTCCGGATGAATGCCTTTGGGAACATTCCTGACAGTACATTACACACATCATAATTTCCTAATGCACACGTGTGTTTATCCCGACGATTTTACCTTGAACAGTAAACTCCACCAAATTAACGGCGTATAAGAAAGCTGTTACAAAAATATCAGTTTATCATTTTACCATTTTTGTTAAGCGGTTCCCAGACCTAACAAGATGCACATATATTCTTAAGATGGAAGATACGAACTGGTTACACAAATCTTTACTTAAGAGCTTTTCTTAATTGCCCTCTTTCACTTTCGTTGCATGTTATCATTAAACGTTTCATGCGCCTTATTATAAACAACGTCATATCTGCCGGAGTACAGCGGCAATCTAGCCAAGTTAACGTTTATGTTGAAAGTTTGTAATTTAGTTGAAAACTTCAAAGTAGCCAGGCAAAATAAACCAAACATAAACAACATATGCTGATCAGCTGAGACAACGCTGTGCACCTATTGCCCGTTGTCATGGTAACCGCTGCAGATTACCTGCCTGAAAACACATGTTAAGTATCAGCAAAGCGTCGTCACGGGGTGGTGGGAGATGGCGAGGGTTGTAGTCGTGCATGACGTCGCCGACACAGAGTAGGTCGAGGGGGCATCGGCAATTGAAATTCTTGGCGTTGAACTTAACTACCGGGCAGATAAAGAATACTCTTAAAATTCACAAAAACTACAAATACCCAAAACAAACAAATGATTTCAAATGATACTAGACTGAAAACAGTCGCCGAAACACTGCAAACGTAAAGTCCAAAATACAATGATGATTCCCGTATCAAATATTCACTATCGAATAACCATTTCCTGTTTCATTTTTAGCTCCCCCCCCCCCCCCCAAAAAAAGCATTTCTTTAGCCCGGCAGTTTGTAAAAAAGACGTGGCTGTGTCACTGAAACAAGAATAAGCTGAATAAGTCAAACCACAAGAATATTTTACGAAACTAGAAAATATATATCATTCTTGAGTGTCAGGGATAGCAATATTTCAGGTGGATCTTGACGGTCTTATCGAATCTGGGGTAGGCAGAGTATGATCCACGTCGACACCCAATCAGCCAGGTCAAACACTTCAACCAATGATCCATAGTTTAGACAGTTCTCCAGACAACCCCGTGGTACCGGGGACCTATTCTGACACGGACCCGCGCAGAGCTCTTCAACTGGAGACAAGACACGCTGCTAGTAGATTTACTGCAAGTAAACATAAATATTTTCCCTGAATGTTTTCAGCGATATAACCCTACCGCTACAGTTGTAGAACCTTTCGTCAGACGCGTTGAAAGGACACTGTAAACACGGGAGGCATATCTTTTCAATTATTTTAAACAAATGTCATACATCTGATACTGCGACTGATAGGGTCCACGACGAGATGTTCACAACGTGGGACGAGTCTCGCCGTGCGTCAAGACCAATCATTACGGCATAGTATATACGGGGTAGTGTAGAGCTTGTAATAGAGATTAAAATTGGTAGCAGGATTTTCTTTATTAAAATTCATGTTTCGAATACCTACATGTTACGTAATGAAACTTGCCAAAGAAGTTGAACGGGTGAATTGGAAGTCATATTGGTGGTGTGTGCGTGGGCGTGTGTGAGAGAGAAAGAGAGAGAGAGAGACAGAGGGAGAGAGAGAGAGCGAGAGAAAGTGAGTAAGTGAGAGAGGGAGAGAAAGTGAGTGAGAGAGATAGCGAGAGAAAGTGTGTGAGAGAGAGAGTGAGTGAGAGAGAAAAGGAGCGAGAGAAAGTGAGTGAGAGCGAGAGAGTAGGGGGTTGTACTTGCTAGCGCAAGATTTCACCCAAGCACCTTCGTAAGGGTAATATCAGTCTAAATTGTTTCGTAAAAGTTTAACGTTTAATGAGGAATAGTAGGTATCAAATATATAGAAAAATAACTCGATCTTGTAATAACGACACCGGCTTATATTTAAATCTTCAGGTCTATTTCCCAAACGCAGCCTCGCCGCAATACGAAGAACGATGTGTTAGGAACTACAGATTTGATTTATGAGGGAAACTGACAAGACAAGATAATTAATATTCCGCAAGGCGTTACCACCTCCCATCAGTCTGTTAGACATATAGACATGTACATAGGTGTCTACGTATGCAGGTCACTTGACTAAATAAATCAAACGACGAGGGGAATTTTTCTTGGCGACAGAATACTGCAGAAGTCTACCTCTTGTTATCATAACAACCCGTTTTCACCCTAACAGAACATCAGACCCCCAACGACGCCGTGCACGCGCCAGATAACGCTGCTTGATATCGGGGACATGTCAGGAGAGGATGGGAATGTCTTCTGATAACTTTGTTTATATTTTCACGAGGAAATATGTTTCATGTCCAATTCAGATTTTTACACCTCAAGATGATATCTCTCGTGTCACTACCAGCCTGCTCAGCTAACACGGTGTCGTGTGAACGAGATATCAAGATATATTTATAAAAATGCAATCTTTACATGAAAATCGAATTTTTCAAAAAAAATCTGCATAACTGGGTTAACTTGCAGTGTAGCACGCTGAGTCATAAGTAGAAAGATCATGTTTATTTTATTTTTTATTAAGACGAGGGAATATATGTGGACATTGCTCTCAATGGAAGCTTGTATTTATATTAGGAGGCAGGTAAACTACACCTGCTGATAATAAAATGCCGGAAATGAACATACGATACAATTTTATGATAATGACGGGGGAACAGCGTTGTCTGCTGGCGAAGTACGTGGATAAAATCGAGCTATACTGCCGAGCAAAAGAAAGTATACTCTTGAACATTGGATTTGAGGAAAATATTACAAACGTTATCAAAACGTTACTCGGTTGAAAACAGTTACTGAAACATAAGGTTCATAACATAGGTATGATATATACACCAGTATGGAATAACCATTTCTTGATTGTTTGTTTTTTTAGCCACCATCAAACATGGGTGTAAGCTTTCTTTTGCCCTGTAGTTTACATGGGCAAGGAGGGGCGATGAGGTAGCCTAGTGGTTAAAGCGTTGGCTCGTCACACCGAAGACCCGGGTTCGATTCCCGACATGGGTACAATGTGTGAAGCCCATTTCCCGGTGTCTCCCGCAGTGATATTACTGGAATATTGCTTAAAGCGGCGCAAAACCACTCACTCACTCACATGGGCAGGGAACGGCGGAAAAATGGAATGCATGAGAAAAGGGTACTTTCTGCGACATGTAGACGAAGCGAATCATGAGACGTTTATTGTTTGTCTTCCTTGTGAAATAGTAGCGTGTGTATGCGCTACATTATTACAATATCTTTGACGTCAAGCAACACTACATCTGTCCTGTAGGTTCCCCTTGTTATACATGTGCCGCCATGTCTGTTCTGTCTATCCAGTAATCTCTCTCTCTCTCTCTCTCTCTCTCTCTCTCTCTCTCTCTCTCTCTCCTCTCTCTCTCTCTCTCTCTCTCTCTCTCTCTCTCTCTCTCTCTCTCTCTCTCTCTCTGTTCTTCCTGTTCTGTAAGCTCCGCCTGTTCTGCCTGTTCTGTCTGTTCTGCCTGTTCTGTCTGTTCTGCCTGTTCTGTCAGCTCCGCCTGTTCTACCTGTTCTGTCAGCTCCGCCTGTTCTGCCTGTTCTGTCAGCTCCGCCTGTTCTGCCTGCCATGTCAGCTCCGCCTGTTCTGCCTGTTCTGTCAGCTCCACCTGTTCTGTCTGTTCTGCCTGTTCTGTCAGCTCCGCCTGTTCTGCCTGCTCTGTCAGCTCTGCTCTGTCTGTCTGTTCTGCCTGCTCTGTCAGCTCCGCGTCAGCTTCTGTCAATTTCGCCTGTTCTGTCAATTTCGCCTGTTCTGTCAGCTCCGCCTGTTCTGTCTGTTCTGCCTGTTCTGTCAATTTCGCCTGTTCTGCCTGTTCTGTCAGCTCCGCCTGTTCTGCCTGTTGTGCCAGCTCCGCCTGTTCTGCCTGTTCTGCCAGCTCCGCCTGTTCTGCCTGTTCTGTTAGCTCTGTAAGCTCTGTCTGTTGTGTCTGCTCCACCTGTTCTGCCTGTTCTGTCAGTTTCGCCTGTTATGCCTGTTCTGTCAGTTTCTCCTGTTCTGCCTGTTCTGTTTGTTGTGTCTGCTCCAACTGTTCTGTCAGCTCCGCCTGTTCTGCCTGTTGTGTTGGCTCCGCCTGTTCTGTCTGTTCTGCCTGTTCTGTCTGTTCTGCCTGTTCTGTCAGCTCCGTCTGTTCTGCCCGTTCTGTCAGCTCCGCCTGTTCTGCCTATTATGTCAGTTTCGCCTGTTCTGTCTTTTGTGTCTGCTCCACCTGTTCTGTCAGCTCCGCCTGTTCTGCCTGTTCTGTCAGCTCCGCCTGTTCTGCCTTTTATGTCAGTTTCGCCTGTTCTGTCAGCTACGCCTGTTCTGTCTGTTCTGCTTAAATTCAGGCCAATACAATCACGTACACCATCCTAATTGGAACATATTTGCGCCTTGAGCTTGTTTGACACAAGTGCACATCTAATCCTGCAGGGAGTCGTTCACCTGACGCCATCTGGTGGCCAGACACGTCATCTTGGCACGACTTCCTGTTTGCCAGACGTGTTCGCCTATCTCGAGGCTAACCACATGATGTAGGATTCTCTGTTGCAAGTAATGTCTCCAGATAACAAACCACTTACCTTGTTAATCCTTTAACCCCTCCCGTTTATTTACATCGACATTATTGAAATGTTCGTCGCGTTGTGTGCCAAATGGTTGGCTGGTGCAAGTTTGTCTGCAAGACCGTGTTTACACAGAGAATGCCACATGCGCCACCATAGTGTGCAGGAACACAGGCCAGGTGTAATATATGTGTTTTCGTTTATTTCTCCCGTGTTGAGGGACACGGGTAGCCCGTCATTCTAATTCTATGTGCACTGTTGGGTACTATAGGCGTGCCCGAAACATGATCGTGGGTTCGAATGCCCCATTCGCCCTAATTATGTTTCTATGTTGTCAGAACCATACCCTTTGGTTTGACCAAAGTTAAAAACGTCTGAGACCTGCATCACTTCTGCCTTTCCTTCTGTGTAAATAAATACTGAAATAGCCTCGTTTACTCACTCACTCACTCACTTTACACCTTTGACACGCTACTAATTTCTTTTAGTCATCAGTTATTGGGTAGAGAGTGAACTAGCAATATCGCTGTAGTGGACACAAATCATTGGCGTCCCACAGTGTACTGTGTGGTAATCGAACTCAGATATGCGGCTTAAAGAGCGAACCCTTTAACCACTGAACTACCTACCTCCATAGTAACGGAGCAGAACTCATCCCTGTCTTTAGGTATATTGCCTTTTTAAAATTATTTCTGCATACCTTATTTATCGTAATTCTTTCATTCCTGGTTACCATGAAATACACGTCGTGTTAACTGTAGGTCGAAACAAGCAATGTCGATATCAGACAAATGAACTTTATAACCTTACTCATAAGATTTAAAACAAGAACAAAATGTATGCCTCTTTCCAGTGTGCACCATCTGTGCTTTGGAACAATCTTTCCATTTTTCCAAGTTTAACACAAGGAACTAAATACACACATGTTTTCATCCACGTTTATTACTGTCATTATCGTTGTCGTCGTCGTCATTATTATTATTTACAGATTAAAATAGTCAGGCTGGTTAGGCTAATCATCAGCTCAGGGCCCTTGCCCCCTCTACACGCAGCCGAGACAGCGAATGGGACTTCTCCCAGGAAGCGCTGCCTTGTAAAACCCACCCAGAACCTTTCGGAGAATGTGAAGACTCCCCAACACTGCAGCCTTCTGCATTACCCAGTTTGTCAGAAGGGCTGTATTCCTGGTAGCAAACCCGGGTACTCTCCAAATGTCAGTTAAAAGATTGGGAGGTACCAAACCTAAGACACCGAGAACAATGGGGAGTCGGACAATTTGGTACTTGGGATGCAAGTGTGACATTTCGAAAACGAGGTCCGCATATTTGCCATGTTTTTCCTCAATCTTGTCAATCACATTACTGTCAAAAGGGACAGAAAATTCAATGATATAAATGATTTCATTGGATTTATCAAAAAGGACAAGATCAGGTTTGTTGGCCTGGATACGCCTGAAGCTGTAAATGGGCCTATTCCAAAGAATTTTGGATTTATCATTTTCCATGACGCCCTCGACATATTCCGAGTCGTACCATGGATGGACTTCTGTGTCAAAACCACAAGCATGGCGAAGACGGTAATAAAATGATCGAGCTATACCATCATGTAGTTTAAGATACTGTGTTTGTGCCAAAGCTGGGCATCCACTGACAATGTGTTGGACAGTCTCATTAAATTCATTACATAATTTCTGTTCTGTCTGTTCCGTCTGTTCTGCCTGTTCTGTCAGCTCCGCCTGTTCTCTCTGCTGCGCCTGTTCTGTCTGCTCCGCCTGTTCTGTCTGCTCCGCCTGTTCTGTCTGCTCCGCCTGTTCCGTCTGTTCTGTCAGCTCCGCCTGTTCTGCCTGTTCTGTCAGCTCCGCCTGTTCTGTCAGCTCCGCCTGTTCTCTCTGCTGCGCCTGTTCTGTCTGCTCCGCCTGTTCTGTCTGCTCCGCCTGTTCTGTCTGCTCCGCCTGTTCTGTCTGTTCTGTCAGCTCCGCCTGTTCTGTCTGTTCTGTCAGCACCGCCTGTTCTGTCAGCTCCGCCTGTTCTGTCTGTTCTGTCTGTTCTGCCTGTTCTGTCTGCTCCGCCTGTTCACTCTGCTGCGCCTGTTCTGTCTGTTCCGCTTGTTCTGCCTGTTCTGTCTGTTCTGTCTGTTCTGTCTGCTACGCCTGTTCTGTCTGTTCCCTCTGCTCCGCCTGTTCCGTCTGCTCCGCCTGTTGTCTGTTCCGTCTGCTTCGCCTGTTCTGTCTGCTCCGCCTGTTCTGTCTGTTCTGTCTGCTACGCCTGTTCTGTCTGTTCCCTCTGCTCCGCCTGTTCTGTCAGGTCAGCCTGTTGTCTGTTCCGTCTGCTCCGCCTGTTCTGTCTGCTCCGCCTGTTCTGTCTGTTCTGTCTGCTCCGCTTGTTCTGCCTGTTCTGTCTGTTCTGTCAGCTCAGCCTGTTCTGTCTGTTCTGTCTGCTACGCCTGTTCTGTCTGTTCCCTCTGCTCCGCCTGTTCCGTCTGCTCCGCCTGTTGTCTGTTCCGTCTGCTCCGCCTGTTCTGTCTGCTCCGCCTGTTTTGTCTGTTCCGCCTTTTCTGCCTGTTCTGTCTGCTCCGCCTGTTCTGCCTGTTCTGTCTGTTCTGTCTGCTCCGCTTGTTCTGCCTGTTCTGTCTGTTCTGTCAGCTCAGCCTGTTCTGTCTGCTACGCCTGTTCTGTCTGTTCCCTCTGCTCCGCCTGTTCCGTCTGCTCCGCCTGTTGTCTGTTCCGTCTGCTCCGCCTGTTCTGTCTGCTCCGCCTGTTTTGTCTGTTCCGCCTTTTCTGCCTGTTCTGTCTGCTCCGCCTGTTCTGCCTGTTCTGTCTGTTCTGTCTGCTCCGCCTGTTCTGCCTGTTCTGTCTGTTCTGTCTGCTCCGCCTGTTCTGTCTGCTCCGCCTGTTCTGCCTGTTCTGCCTGTTCTGTCAGCTCAGCCTGTTCTGTCTGTTCTGTCTGCTCCGCCTGTTCACCGACCATTTTGTAGTAAACGTCGACATACACATTTACGTCAAATGTGCATTCAATCAGTGAAAAACTATGGGCCTCCTCCTGCGAAATCCAGACACACATGAATGTCTCTTGTGAGTTGGGCTTTGGCAAGATTTAGTAGCCGCAGGTTTAGGCCAAATGGATTTTCTGACATGTTGTGCCCATCTTTCAAATCCAGGAACAGGCAAAATGTTGAAAATAAATTTCATGTTTGGTTTATGTGCAAAATCTGAGTTGGCGAAATGTTTTATATACTAGTAATTATATTTTCATGTAAACAAAACAAGAATGTTAAGAGGTAAACTTCTTTACCTTTATATTGAATAGCACGTATCCGCATCTGTACAAAGAGCGACGGTTTAGTACAGCTACTTTTGAAGCCTGAAAATATAAATGGAGGAATATGATACTTTTGAACAAAAAACGAAATGCCTTCAGTTTCTTAATTCCGATATAATGTATTTATATTAAAGTTGTCTGTTATGTTAATCCATCTACTATTCCCAGTTGTATTTTTAGCTTTTGTGCTAATGTCTTGTGTCTGTTTTGTATGTATGTGGGTGCGTGTGTGCGTGCGTGCGTGCATGCGTGCGTGTAAATTCGTTTCTTTGTCTGTATCTGTCTGTTTAGAAAATTGTTGTGCCTGATCGTTATTTTGGGCTTGGGATTTTGTACTAAATAAATATGTCTGCCTAGATCTTTCTCCCAAACAATCCAATATAGTTTAATATGTAAAGACGTGGTCAGATTGATTTTAATTGTCAGGTAAGTTACTCCGTGTGTCCTTGACAACGCTGTCCATTGTCATGCCATCCTTAACCAAGCTGATACCCTATACTGGCACCGCTACACACATGGCAACCATTCTCCATGACGCTAACGTGTCCACCAAGCCTAACTAGTCAGCCTACAGAGAACAACCACCGATGTCGGTCAAAAGCCACTACCTTACAACTATCTGTTAACTGCCCATCAAGGCTTTCCAAATATCATATTAAAGTGTTTCAGTGATGAGGAATGTCGGTGAGGAGTGGGGGTATGTCTGTGAGGTCATGGCCGGATGGTCCTGCCAGCTGTGGCGGTCATCAGAGATCTGGTCAAGTCATCAGGGCGGCAAGGTAAAAGAGGGTGCCGGCATTAAATCCAAGACACCTTTCTTGGGTTGTATAATTAGCATACGCCAAAACAAACAACTTTAATATATATTGCCTCCTTATTGCTGTTGACATTGCAATGGCTTCTTACCTTGTAGATATGTACCTCGAGAACTATATTAGAGAGTGGGCGTGGTACGTTGGGAGAATCCATGCCCTGCTTAAACCCACCGCCTCGATGCAGTGCAATATCTCTGAAAGCCATCTGGAGATTAATCTTGAATCATTTTCCAAGCCTTAATAGCTGTCTATATATAGATTCCCATTCCGAAAATACATCAACGGTTGAAATGCGAATTGATGTGTTGAAGGAGATTTGAACTTTTTGCGCTTCTCTAACCTGGAATCAGGCTGCCATTCATCGCTGTTGTGTGTCATATTTCAAGTTGGTTTTTTTAAAGATTTCCTCTTCGAGGATTTCGAGGTCTCTTTTCTATCGTAAACAACCTCAAAATAAACACTGAATTGAACATCAAAGCACCACAATCTTAAACTGTTCCCAAAGAAATTCTGATCTAAACATTCCATGGAAACAATACATAGAAGTTTACTTCAAATAACGAGAGTTGTGTATAGTGAAACCTCGTTAACTCCAACTCCTTTGTCTCGATATGTCACTTGTGTCGATGTAACTTTCACTTCTCAGATGAGCCATTGATGACCCAGTCGTCTAAGGCGCAGCAATTAGCTGTGTAGAGTTGCGTCCCTTGGATACAGCAGAAACTTATGATTGTAGGTTCGAATCCCGGTTCGATACGATTATGGTTCTAGGTTTGTCAGCACGATACCCGTTCTCGTGGGTTTCACCAAAGTGGTAAACGTCTGAGACCTGCATCGCGGCGTTAAACCCAACTCATTCAGTAACTCATCGACATGACCGTCTGATACCGTGATACCCCGTAGTTATAACTTCGGATAACACGTCATATAATTGACGATCCCCAGGACTTCGAGTTTTCAAGTTTTCCCGATGCTGGAAGTATTTACCTTGGTAGAATGGATTGCTCTTGTCCTGTTAAATGAATTGACCTAAATATTGATATGTCTACCTCTCAGTCCTGGTGGGGAATGACCTGGGCCTTCTCTCTCTCTGCTAGCACTTACTTGCTCGGACAACAACGTGATGAATGTAATCATAGCATGGCATGTGAAACATGGTCGGGGTAGTTGCTCGAGAGACTGCTGTACACGTTGGAGTGGAGAGAATCGGGCTGGCAAGATGCTGCTGCAAGTTCTCGAACACGTTCAATTTAAACTGCTGACGTAAAGAAAGTATACTCTTGAAAGTTCACACTTCACTCAGCTCATTATTGTCTACTGTGAACTCGCGGCCCACATGTTTCTTCTGACGTCACGCATGTGATACCGCTTGCGATACCCGTATCAAATACACAACCAATTACCATATCTTGTTTGTCTCATATTTAAGCACCGTCAAACATGGATGTATACTTTCTTTTGCCCGGCAGTTTACTTACATGGAGGCGATAAGGTGAGGGTGGTTTTTTCTGGATGGGGGTGAGGGGAGACCCCAAAAGAAGTCTGACATCACCAAACATTACAAAATAACCAGTATTATTAGTTTGGGGTGGGGATGGTTAGGCACGGAGTGTGCGACCTCTTTTTCAGACGCCATGACAAGTGTTGTGCGATCCCCGAGAATGATGTTGTTAACTTGATAACTCGGGGGTGTTTTCTAGGGTTTAGATTTAAAATTAATCATTCACTGGCCACGCCGAAGACCCGGGCTCGATTCCCGACATGGGTACAATGTGTGAAGCCCATTTCTGGTGTCCCCCGCCGTGATATTGCTTGAATATTGCTGAAAGCGGCGTAAACAAATACACACTCACTTATTCACTTAGTTTGAGTGTAGTTCGCGAAATACATTGAGTGACGTCACAGCACAGAATGGTACCATCATGGAGCCTTAGAAACTGAAGAAAATTCTTAAAAGTGCACGTCGCTAAACATTTGCTCGAAGATCACCACACATAGAAGTTATGTTTTCTAATAGGTGGACATTTTATCCCTAATAATTAAACTATTTATAAAGTAAAAATACTATGAATTAAATGTCATGTTAACCTTGGTGTGATTCCCCTGTATGCCTCCATCTAAAGTGTCAATTTGCCGAGGCAGTTAATAAGTGCGTCCAGCGCGGTTAAAATTGGTTTTAAAAATGTCAATCTAAAAAAATATTAAATACTCTGAATCATGACCCTTCGAAATCTTTAAGATAACATCCGCATCTTAGTTAATGAGGGGGGCACGGGGGGCCCAGTCGTCTGGGCACGCCAGAAACCTATGATTGTGGGTTCGAATCCTGGTTCGCCCCGATTATGTTTCTAGGTTTATCAGCACCATACCGGTGCTCGTGGGTTTCACCGAAGTGGTAAACGCCTGAGACCTGCATCACTTCGGGCTTTCCTCCCACATTAAGCTGACACGCCGTGATATGACTGGAATACTGTTAAAAGCGTCGTTAAACACAACTCACTCACTCACTTAGTTAATGAGTGCTGAGGCCCGTTCCACAAAGCGAATTCAGCGACACGACAGTCTGTGTTAAAGTATGGGAGTTACGATCATCCTTGCATAAAGATCGCTCTGCGGAACGGATCCTAGGTGTGATGCTCTTGGAATACCATGTCTCATCTGCAGTCTATCAGAGACCATATACCTGGTTTGTATTTACTCCATCAAAATCCGTGTATACTTGGTTCATTTACTTTAAAGAAAGTAAACATATGTAGGTCACATGGCTATCCTGGCTGTGCAGTAGGTAGTCTTATCGTTGGCTGCCATATCTCAATCAGGGCAACGGCTGTTACCGATCTGGAACTAAAACACCTGTTAGTGTCATGAGACTCTCCCCGGGACAAGCACCATGACGGTACGGTAGTCCGGATGTTGTTGGGTAATAGTTAGACGTTCTGTAAAGGGGCAAGAAAGTTAACCACCTAAACCGACCAGGTGTGGTGGAATAAAAGATGATTACACGAGAGGGTGTTGTAATGAGTTTACGAAACGAGTGTCAGAAGTTTGGTATTTCCAAAGCGATAGGGAGGAGGGTACATGAATTCTGACACGAGAATCGCAAAATGAGTAGGCTGAATTAGTAATCATTCCTTTACCATCTGCACTTAATAATTTACCGCTGTACTGTCTTCTATATTGAGGGGCGGTGGGGTAGCCTTGTGGTTAAAGCGTTCGCTCGTCACACTGCAGACCCGGGTTCGATTCCCCACATGGGCACAATGTGTGAAGCCCATTTCTGGTGTCCTCCGCCGTGATATTGCTGAAAGCGGCGTAAAACGATACCTAAACCCACTTTTATATTGAAAACCGTGCCGAGATGTCCAAAGTGTCAAAATGACGTAAACAACAATGCCCTGTGACGTCATTAAATAATGATGCTTAACGTAAACAATCATCATTACGTCAACACTGCTGTAGAACGCGTGACATCATTACACGTGTATTAACTCCGTCGTTTTGAACAATATGGATGATAAAAATAAATAATACGTATATGGACACGGTTATGTCACTGAGAAATGTAATTCTCATGAACCTGATTTGCTACAATTCGCTTTGCAGAGTTACATTCCTTAGATTTGTCAGGATCCTAGGATCGTAACATCACCTTGGTCTTGATCACTGGTTTGGCAGCACCACGCCCATGTTCGTGGGTTTCACCAGCTTCTGAATCATGCATCACGGTCGTTCCTCCCACATTAAGCTGACACCCCTTGATATTACTGTCTCTTTGGCTGTAATCTGCGACATACTTCCAATTCGTTAGAGAACATGCGATATTTTCATATGACT